GATAAACACTTCATGCATGTGAGTATCAAAGAACCTAGGTACACTTACTTACTTTTAGTAAATTGTAAAGGTGGTGTAGCACAATTAGATCAAATAAAGATGCCCTGCCAGAATAAAATTTAAACAAATAACAATAAGATAATTTGAAATAATGAAGATATGGGTCTTACTGTAATATATAAATCAGTCTCCTTAATGCCATAGATCAAAGAAATGATCCTCAACAAATTAGAAGCAATGTGTTGGCACCGTATGTAACATAAATAAATTGTAAATTAAACTAGGATATTTCCAATCCGTAGTTGAATATTAAAAAAAAATCCAAAATAAAAACATTTTCGTTATAGCAGATGAAATGAATAAAAATCAATAAAAATTCAGAATTGGCTCTAAATTTTCCAACACAACCAGCCCAAAGGAGCAAGCCTTCTAATATAAATGACTAGCTATTCATTTTAGACGAAGACTTTATTAACTTATTGAATCAGCACATTAAGACCATTAGAGAAACCGGTGCTTCAAATCAGTGCTCACCGTTCAAGAGAGATACGAGTAATTGAGCTTCGACTAATGTATTGTGATAAGATTGATGTAGACTTTCATTCCATACGAAGTTTATGATAAAGAAACTCGTAAGGTGACCACACCGGAAGATAATGTATATTTTTCGCTATTATGCAGCCATTCGGCCCTAGAACGAAGAATTAGGATTAGCGGCTTATGAAATAATGAGTTAGAGCTCTAATGACGTGCATCAAATGATTAGTGAAAGCGAACGACTGCAAATTAACAGGACTAAATGAGTAGCAAACGAGTCATCATGCACCTTCACCTAAAATAAGAGTCCACACAAAGAAATATAAAGCCAAGATGAAATCAAAAATAGTGAAAATTGGATGAAGAACCTCAACGACTGTGAACGGAAGTGACTCTTATATTGCTAGTTATACTAAATAGCTAACTTTTAAATATAAAAATCTAAGTTGAGAAACACGCTACACAAGCATCAAGAACATATTAATAGACTTGGCAATAATTCAATAACAAACAGAGTTCAACTAATTTGAGTCCTAACGAAGGACACTAAAAGCAAGCACAACTGAAAAAGGTTTGTGAAATCTTCGGACCAAAGAGAAAGCTTACTACATAAAGAGGAAAACAGCAAACACAAGAGAACCAGCAGGTTGCTCATAACCCGGGCTCAAGTCCAAACTACAAGAGAAGCGCAATGAGTCATTAAATAAATAGCACCGTATCCATCATCGTTATAGGATTAGGCAATAAGACTTCCCAATCACATCGGGAGTACGTACCAATAGCCCTGGCAGCATCTTCTGCATTGGCAAAAAGGATTGTGCCATGACCACGAGATTTGCCTTGAGCATCGAAGGCAATGTCAGCGAAACGAACGTCTCCAAACTCCCGGAAGCTCCTCTTCAGATCTTGCCAGGTATACGAGAAAGGAAGCTACGAAAGAGATGCCGACAAATAAGATGATGAAAACGACAACCGAAAGCTTGAGACAAGAGCAAATCTGAGTAGGAATAATAAACGAGCCAGGAGGATCAAGGAGCCAATCTTTACCATGATACACTTACATTCTTAACAACAAGAGAGCATCCTCCTTTCCCAGTACCGGCAGCGACTTCATCCACACCTATCGAGGATAGGCCATTACCAATACCAACATTCCCACCACCGCCAAACACCTCTCCAGGGTCGCGGCCACGTGAGTCGGCACCGTTCATGCAGC